CAGCTATGATTAAACTATTTCAGTAAAACTACATATTTTCAGATTTATATATCATCACAAAATTATGCTCATTAAAAACACCTGCTGACTTGGCAGGTGTTTGACTGATAATAAGTAGAAAACACATTTGAACTTGGTCAAAGTTCATTCTGCAAGTCCAATGCTGCAGGCAAAGACATGCTACATGGCAATGCACACTTGTTTTTACATCGTAAAAAACAATGTTTAGTTGTACATTAAATAGTTTTTTTTTTCATGAACTGAATAAAGTTAAACAAAACAAAAAAACTAAAAGAAGCGTCTCTCTGTCTCCCCTCAGAGAAGGTTAAAGGGGAGTGACGTCCCCCCCCCTGCAGCTTCACAGCACGAGGCGGACGAGTCGCTCCCGGCTCCAGCAGGAGAACCAAAGTGACCTCGCCGGAAGTGGAGAAGAACTTTTTTTTATCTTTAAAAGAACAACTAAAGAACGGAGAACATCATCATCAGTTTAACTTTAGATAGCAGCATTAACATCTTTTCTTCTTTTTCATTTTTAATATATTTTGATTTGTGACATGAGCTCATAGGACAAACTGGATCTGCAGACGGATCCTACAGAACCACTGAATGTCAGAAATGTCTTCAAATACATGAGATGGAAAGAACCAATAAATTATGAGTGGAAAACACGTTTCAGCCACATTTAGTGCTTTAAAACACTTTTTTTTTAGTATTTATTAATTTCATTAAAAAAACACATTACATACAACAAAACAATGCAATTCTAATAAAAAGGCAGCAGAAGAAAAAAATCACCTGCTCCTATTTACAACAAAAAAATGTTAATTTCAAACAATAATAGTTATAATAGGTTAAAGTTACAGAGGAGCTGAGCTGCTGCTTCAAATCAAACAAACTCCAACATCTTTAAAGCTGTTGAAGCAGGAAGAAAGTGGTGAAAAGCTGCTGAAACCAGAGACTGAAAAATGGTCCCAATCTGTTTTTTTTATTATTATTTAGGAAAGAAACTGCAAAAACTGTCCATCTTAACCAAGTTTTAAAARCTTATATCAGCCAAAAAGTCTTTTTGATCTTGTTTCGAGACTGATTTACTAAACAAGAACTGATTAAGAATAATTATCTTGTTTTCAGAATGTGTAAGATTATTTGTCTTGTTAGTCTGAAAATTTGACTCAAATTAAGTCAAAATTTTCTGCCAATGGAGTAAGAAAATTTTTTACTTAGTAAGATTCTTGAAATAAGAAAAAAAAGAGTCAAATCAAGTATTTTAGGAATCTTACCAAGTAGAGCTGGGCGGTATGACCAAAGTTTTATATCACGGTATTTTCAACATTTACACCGGTTTCACGGTATATCACGGTATTTTTCTTTTCATCACAGGTCAGCTGATAATAAAATGCACAAACACTGTTTATTAACTTTTTTCTTTTACTGTACCTCTGTCTGTGTCTCTGTTTCCCTCCTCTAAACGTCTTTTCTTCTCCTCCTGGTTGGAGACAGTAGTCATGCATTTTGGTCCGGTCGTGAAGGAGGACGGTTCAGAAAAGATTGTTATCGGGTTTATTGATTTATATTATTTAATAAAGATTAACAGCNTATATACTTTAAATAAAATTCTCTTTTTTGAATTATATTGGTGCACTTTAAGTATTTATTTATTTATTTATTTATTTATTTATTTATTTATTTATTTCCACTTTTATTTTTAATTATGTCAGTTTCGGTCCTCCGTACAGCAGAAGCCTGATAATCACCCATTCATTCAAATCAGGTGAGTTTGAGCAGAGAAATAAATAAAACTTGCAGGGCTGAGACCCTGGAGGACCAGGATTGCCCATCCCTGGTGTAAATACAGCACTAATATAAAAATTAGTTCCACTAAAACACGAACTCAAATATTTAGGTCCGCTAATTGTAAAGGTTAAAAACCTCAGCTTTAGCTCTTTAACCATCCTGGATAAAAGTCTGCGGTAACTGAGGTGCTTCTAAATTTAGCCTATAGATTTAGCAAGTGCTAATTCACTAATAAATTTTAAAATTAGCAAAAGCCCTAAAGCACTAATCAGGAAGTTATTTCCCCTGGCCTATTAGCGCTTCATGAGAACTGCGCCCACCATTAATAAAATCCTTTTTTAAGCAACAATCTCTGAAAAGAACAAACTCGCCATTTCGAAAGCGACGCACATCCACTTGTCAATTTCTTCATCACTCGGACAAAAACTCTCCAATAAATCAGCTTTACGGCATTCCTCTGTTTCCATAGCAAAGGTCGCCTCACATCAAAAGTGTAATCTGTTTAAATTTAAAGCGTGTTTGGAGCTTTATTGTGCTTTAATGTTTCCCGTTCATTCGCTGTCTAAAGGGCGGAAGTACAGCACGGGGGAAGATAATACTGAGCGGACCGTCTTCAGATTCAACCAATCAGATCTTCTCGTTTTGCCACACGTCATCACTGCGACTGTTTTGCGCATTGATTGAGCGTAACAAAACCGGAAATAAAGATATTTGCTTTTGTAAAAAAAGCACGGATTTTGCCCTCATTTGTAAAAACTGTCATTATGTATTTTTGTTCATGTTTGAAATTTATATCCGAGTTCTGTCAGTCTGTCCACTCAAAAATAAACACAATACAAACACAAATACACCTTTCTTTCATTTCAGTGGAACTGACTGTCATTTATTTTGAAATTCAAACCGGATGTTTTACACTCACGCTTCCTCGTAATTTCTGACAGTTAGCATAGCAACGCAATGCTGCACCCTGAAACATTTCATTTAAAAATGTCGCTTAAGTGGTAAGATAATAAAAATAAAACTACGGAGGAGGTTTTAGAGTTTCAGTTCTCTGAAAATGTTTTCGTCTGTCTGGAATTTTATCAAACGCCATAAAAAGAAGTTTATTTTCACCGGAGCTGTGGTTGGAGGTACGTCCTGTTAGCTTCGTGCTAAGCGAAGCACGCCAGACTCTGTGCGTAAAGCTTTGAACGTGGTTTGTTTTTGAGGTAATTGTACGATAAGTCTGTCGTAGAACTTATTTAAAGAGCGATTAGGAAACATATAGATGTTCTTTTTAATTCGGCTGCACAGATTTTGAGATTCAACCAACATATTTGATAATTTACATAAAAACCCTGTTTTTTTATACAAATGTTAGTGTCTGTATTGTTGTTTAATGAATTGAATGAATTTTAATTGTTGTTTATTGTTGTTTAATGTATATGCAGTTTGAATGAAAACATGTTATTGGTTTATGTTTTATTTTTATTTTTTTTGAGCTTCAGTGGGATTTCATTTTTTAAGCCGATGTCTTATTGCCACATTGGTGTTGTGTAAACACACACCTGTACTCTCTAAACCAGAGCTTCTTAACCTTTTTGACCTCAGGGCCCAATTTGTTGAACATAAAGTGTCACGAGGTCCAGTCAGACATTACCAATGTNCTTGTGGGCTCAGTCCTTCCTTGCTTTGGGTTTTGGAGCTGAAAAACAAACGAATGAGATGTTAATTTATTTTATTTTATCACAAATAAAAGCTGCCCTTCGTGCTACATGTTTAGATTCAGATGAGAAACGAAGACATTAAAACTGTTTCAGTCTAATCTTTAAAAGAACGTCCTGACTGATAGGTTAGGGTCGACTCTCAGCTACTACCACCCCACACATATGCTCTGCTCCGTACTTTATAAAGTGTTAATAAGACATTTATAAATGTGCCTCAGATAAACCAGGAGCAGAGGAAGGAAAAGGTTAAAATAAGATAAAAACGGACAGAAATAATTCACCGTTAGGATTCTCCTGTTTGTAGAAGGTTTTCAGCATCGCAACGGCTTCTTCTGCTCTGTGACCAGAAACACACTGAACACACACACACACACACACACACACACACACACAGACACACACACACACACACACACACACACACGGCAGGTGAGCTGGAGGTTAAAAACCAACAACAGTTAAAGATTTCATAAAACCTCACAGAAACACACACAAACAGGAACACACTAACAGGAACACACAAACAGGAACACACTAACAGGAACACACTAACAGGAACACACACAAACAGGAACACACACAAACAGGAACACACTAACAGGAACACACAAACAGGAACACACTAACAGGAACACACTAACAGGAACACACAAACAGGAACACACTAACAGGAACACACAAACAGGAACACAC